TAGGTTTCTGATATTGCAGTGTCTTGGTAACTCTGAAGAGCTGAGCAGCTGTAGGTTTTAAAGTCTTGCCATGCAGTGCTCTCATTCTGAGCTCTAGGGTTCTCCTGACTCCCTTGTACATATCAACGGTAACCTTTAATGATCTGACTAGGTGAAACTGACTAGTCAGCTTTTAAAGGATAATACAATCATATTGTAAACTTAAAAGTTTAAGTAGATAAGCATTTAAAAAATGACCAGAAACAACATGGATCATCAGGCTTTGGTTATTGATACCTAAAATGAATCTAAAGATCAATAGGAAATTAGCCAGGAGCTGTAAAGAACAAGAAAGAAGCCAGACTGGAATCTGCCTCAGAAACCAGGTGGGGCCTCACTGTGGGGGCCTCCCTAGAGCCTTTGGAGCTTGGACGTTCCGGGAAGTGTGTGCTGGCCGAGCAACGCTGGCCTTGCTGTGTTTGTCGTCGCCCTCGTGTGGCACGGGCAGCTAGCTCCAGGAGGGACTGGTTCCTTCTTACACCAGATCATGATCAGTGCCAGCTCCCTGACTGCACTCTAACTTGGTTTTAAATAAAGTTAATTTTGGGACAGTTTTATATTTACAAGAAAAAAATGAGGAAAGTACAAGGAGCTTCTGCATGAGTCTTTCCCAGTCTCCTCATGGTACCTCTTCCACAGTTGTGGCGTGTTTGCCCAGGTGTGGAAATGACTATGGCCTGAACCAGTGAGGTGGCTCAGTGGGTAGAGACCCTTGCCCATAGGCCTGATAGTCAGGCCTGAGTACTGTCCCCAGAACTCATGTAGTGAGTGGAAAGGTCTCCTGAAAGTTGTCCCCCTGACCCCTACATGGGCACATGTGTGCACATACACACACACACAGACACAAATAAATGTAAACTGATTTTTACAAGAAAAAGATTACTGGGAAGAACATTGGACATTTTTTTGGTTTTCAGCTAATATCCTTTCACTGTTGAGAATCCAATCCAGGATACCACACAGACTCACTCTGGTTCTGTTTGACTTATTAGAAGACTGTGTAAATGAAGACCCATGAATAACCTGCTTTTTACTCTGCCTTCCCAACAGTGTTCTCTGATTTTAAGGATCTGATTGGCCAGATTTTAATGGAAGTACTGATGATGTCGACTCAGACACGAGATGAAAACCCATTTGCCAGTCTGACAGCCACATCCCAGCCTATTGCCACGGCAGCTCGGTCACCTGACGGAAATCTCATGCTGAACGCTGGCTCCAATTCAGGAACAAGCCCCATGTTCTGCAGCTTGGGCTCCTTCAGTGCCAGCTCGTTGTCTAGGTCAGTGTGATTCTCTCTGCTCATCCACTGGTAGGAAAACAGCTGTGAAGAGTGCTGAGGAGTTCCAGTCCACAGTGTTGATCTGTATCATTGATGTTATGGTGTCTTTCCTATGAGGGGAGCGTAGGGGAGAGGGTGGCTGTGGCCATCTTGATTAAATTTCTTAGCCTTCTGTGCTTTGGTTGTTGGTAGGTTAAATTTTAGACACACATGACTGTGTGTGCTACATTATTCTTTGAAAAGGGTCATTGGCACCTCCACATGAACGTAGCAATTAGATTCTGGTCATTTTTTTAAATGCTTATCTACTTAAACTTTTAAGTTTATAATATGATTGTATTATCCTTTAAAAGCTGACATTATCCATTTTTAGTCATCTCAAGTTTTTCTTTGATTTTTCTCTTCTTTCCTCCCTTTTCAACTAATTTAGCCTCTATGAAACTAGCCCTGCTCCTCCCGCCAGTCTCTGGAGCTTTGTGCCAGTGCCCAGTCCCTCCTTTGCTTCACCTTCCCGCACAGCCCCCCGGGGGCCTGTGCCTTCCTCGTCCCTCAGCCCTCACAGCGCAGCCCCCCAGGGGCCTGTGCCCTCCTCGTCCCTCAGCCCTCACAGCGCAGCCCCCCAGGGGCCTGTGCCCTCCTCGTCCCTCAGCCCTCACAGCGCAGCCCCCCAGGGGCCTTCCACGTCCCTCAGCCCTCACAGCGCAGCCCCCCGTGGGCCTTCCACGTCCCTCAGCCCTCACAGCGCAGCCCCCCAAGGGCCTGTGCCTTCCTCGTCCCTCAGCCCTCACAGCGCAGCCCCCCGTGGGCCTTCCTCGTCCCTCAGCCCTCACAGCGCAGCTTCCGGAACTGCGGCTGGAAGCCAGCCCTCATCCCCCAGGTATCGTCCCTACACTGTCACGCACCCGTGGGGGTCTTCACCGTGCCCCACCCCGCGATCCTCCACCCTGGCCGACCCCCCAGGCTTCCTTGCCCGCCCAAGTAGTCCCCGAGCAGTGCCTGCCAGCTCCTCCAGACAGAGGCCCCGCAGCAGGGGCCCCGCCTTCCCACCCGCCTCGCCCAGTGCTGCCAGCAGACGTCCCTCCTCCCTGCGGATCTCTCCTAGGTATTTATTTGCAGGAGAGCTGCGTGTGTGTTTGCAGTGCAGGGAAAGAAAATTAACACGGTTTGGAAAGAACTGCTGTGTGACACTGACCTCAGTTGAATTCTGGGAGTCATTGGGTATTAACCTGTGTCGCTCGCTAGCTCTCTGGTGGGCGTGTGCCCTGCCTCCATGATATGCCAGGCCGGGATCCACGAGAAAGTGGAGGTTGCAGTGTTGTGCGCTCCTTTCTTCCTTCCTTATCCTCACTCTCTGTCGTCTGCACAGCAACCAAAGAATTGCATTTTTTTTTCTTTTTGTGTGGCCTGGCTCATGGGTCCCTCATTATACATGAACCTCAGAGACTGTGGTCAGTGTTGTATTTGAGAATTGGGGCTCACAGGATGACTTTTGGTCTAGGCCAGTGTTTGCTCTTTCTGTGAGTCATGCCTTGATGCCTTGACGTCTGATTGCATGTAATTCCAGTCTCTCAGAAACAGCAGCAGCAGCAGCCGCAGCAGCATCCCGTGAGTCCGGTGGCCCCCTCTCTCAAATGTACTGCATATTTCTGTAATTCAGGGGACTGTTTCTGCATGTCAGTGAAACTTCAGTGAAAGACTTGTTTGAAATGACGGCAACGCAGCAGCGTCTTTCTCCCGTCTTATTTCCTCTGTTCCCTGATGACCTTTTTTGCTTTTGTTGTGGTAGTATGTACGACAGTCCTTTCTCCTTCCTCTTCCTCGCACTTTCTGGGGACAGTAGTGATGAAGAAGATGAAGAAGATGATGATGATGATGATGATGATGAAGGTGGTGGTGGTGGTGGTGATGATTTTTCTTGTGTCCAGTTTGGGTCCAGGTATCAGAAGAATGGAGTCTTACCCGTAACTGCATGTGCTATAGGTGCTCAGGAACTAACTTTCGTAAGCCCTGCTTAGGGCTCTGCTTTGAATCCAAACAGGGTAGTGTTAAGTGAGGAAGGCCAGCCAGCGTGCACTGAAGTGTGAGGCCCTTACACTGGAATGAAATGACACACAGGACAGCTCTCAGTTGTTGCCCATTCGGATAAGAAAACTCATCTGGCCCATTTGTCAAAACCTGAGAAAAGATGAACTGCCACTCAGCCTTAAGTTCACCCACCTTTAGGAAGGAAATGAGGGGCCCTCCCGTTATCCACCATGAGTTTGGTTGCATTGATAGCAGGTGTTTAGGAACAGCACTTTGGGTGTGTGTGTCCATCTCTTGCACATCAAACTCTGTGTGGGCAATCTGGGTGAATGTGTGTGGTCATGCTGTCCAGTGTAAGTGGGATTCTCTCTTATATCTGCCCTTGAGTCTCCTTGAGCATCTCCTTGTATCAGTGAAGCAGTGTCCCATTTGTTTCAGGATGCCACTGAATATTCCCCCTGAAACCTGAGTTAAAAACTCTGTGTTTCTAGATGATTTGAGCACAAAAATATAATGACCCTTTGTTTCTACGTCTCTGACTCATTGCCTTAAGAGTTTTGCTCTCCCACTGAAGTTCCCTCTGGACCCAGTCATATTTATGGCCAGCACTGTTCACAAATAACCTCAGGCTAAAAATAGAGACTGCAGTAGGAGCTGGGAACACTTGATTAAGTTTGACGGCTCATGAAGAGAGAGACGAATGTCAACACACGGTTGAATATTGATTCCAAAAGGTTGATGTTTGTATTAGGTTGAATATTCTATTGTCATTTCCCAAGTGAATATTCCAAAGGGGAGCAGTGTCTTTCTCATGCCTATAAAGTCCAGTGTGACTACAGGTCACCCAGCAGACATCATAGGAATGGCTGTCCATACATGGTAAAAGGGCCTTATCTGTTTGCTTTAAGTTTTCTGTGGAGCAGTGCTTTGTGTAATTCCGTAACAAGTCACAAGCTGCCTCTGCTAATGCTCTTCCTAGATTCCTGGCATCTGACCTCACCTGAGACCCAGCCTCTGTGCTTACTAGCTGAGGTCCTGGTGGTGTGATGTTAGTTGCCCAGCATTGTGCCTGTTCTCTCTTGTAGCTGGGACGTAGATCCAGAAGCCAGAAGCAGAGCTCATGTTGTGCACTTCCACATTGCACTCTTCTGTCCCTTTGGTGTTCCAATTTCTGCTGCTCTGGTTCTTTATTAGTTACCTCACTGCTGGGAGTCTTTGTGTGCCTTCTGTTCTTGTGTAGAAGGTACAGAGATTTTTAGGACCAGTTACTAGATTATATCCTTATCAGTATGAGATGATCTGGATTGTCTATGAGGTATCTAATTAAAGATTACTAGTAGATTACAGATTGTCTGTTAGATAATCTAATTGTAGATTACTAGTAGATTCCAGATAAAGTGAATGAAGATGGTCCCAGAGCATATAACACTAAACAGATAGAGAACTTGAGAATACATGTTAGTCAGAGGAGCAAGAGATAGCAAAAGAACTTGCTAAATTTGCTAAGTGAAGACTCTTTCTTGTGCCTATAAAGTCCCATGTGACATCCATAGGAATGACTTACTGTTCATTGTGAATGGACTTCATCTGTTCTGCATTGAGTTATCTGTAGGATAACTTTATGTAACGCAATCCTGCTACAGTATTGGGATTGTTGGCCAGAGTAATAATGCAACAAACAAACAAGCAATAAACGGGTTATAAATAAGAAAGGAAGAAGTCAGTTTATCTTTATGTGTAGGAGATATGATTCTGTGAAATTATTTATTTATTTATTTTTGGTTTTTTAATACAGGTTTTCTCTGTGTAGTTTTGGTGCCTGTCCTGGATCTCACTCTGTAGACCAGGCTGGCCTTGAACTCACAGAGATCCTCCTGGCTCTGCCTCCCAAGTGCTGGGATTAAAGGCATGTACCATCGCCGCCGCCTGACCTATCTTTTTTTTTTTTTTTTTTCAAAAGGCATGTTTGTTTTATTTATTTAATGTGTAGGGTTGATTTGTCTGCACCTGTCTGTATGTACCATATTGGTGCCTGGTACCCTTGGATCCTCTGGGTCTGGAGTTTTATAGACAGTAGTTTGAGGAGTTTCTTAAGGCTGCCAGCTCACAAAAATGACATGGAGACTTAGTATTAATTATGAAAGCTCGGCCTATAGCTTAGTCTCGTTCCTAATGATCTCTTATAACTGAAATCAGCCCATTTCTATTAACCTGTGTTTTGACATGTGGCTTTTTACCTTTCATTCTGTGTGTCTGATTCTCTCCATGTGTCATTGGCATCTCCTCTGCCAGCCTCAATTATCTCCTCTTAAATCCTCTCTCTGCCTGAAAGTCCCTACTGTACCTCCTGCCTAGCTATTTACTGTTCAGCTCGTTATTAAACCAAGCACAGAAACACAACTTCACACAGTGTACAAATATCCCACATTTCCCCCTTTTTGTCGAAATAAAAAGGAAAGGATTTAATTCTAACATAGTAAACCTATATACAGTAAGAATAGTTATTAGGTAAGAATTACATTCACAATGTCCAGTCCATTTGTAATTGATATATTTGGAGAAAATTATATTCTCTATCTTATCTTGATGAATTTAAAGTTTTATACCTAAACCATTTTCTATCAAAACTTGTATTATCCTAAAACAATCTTTTTACACCTCAAAACATTTTTTTAAACAGTTTAAGCTTTTATGTCTCTTAACCTTATGCACTTTATACCTCTTTCGTGAGTTTCTTTTTTGAATTTGGTAACAAGGAAAGCTATAACTATAACTATCTTGTCTTCAGCTTCATCAGAGATCTGAGAAGGATATAATATCACCTGAGTAAACAGGCAGCATACAACTTCCAAAACTGTAGAAATGACAGAAACAGCTGGCTGCCTGGACAGTCACCCCAGGTCTGCCTGGCTCAACAGGTGACACAGATCACCAGGCTGTTAATCACTTCCGATTCTCAGCTTTCTGGAGGGAAGAACAGGTTTTCATCTTTCCTATTGTAAAGACAATCCTGTATACTTAACATTCCTGGTTTCTCTGAAGATCTGTGGGTGCAAGGACCTTTGAGTTGTGTTCCCAACAGTTGGTAACTCACATAAGGGTGGTGGGAATCAAATTCAGGTCCTCTGGAATAGCAACAAGTGTTCTTAATTCTTGAGCCATTTCTCCAGCCTGATTCTGTAGCTTTTTTAAACTGTATGTATTTATTTATTATTTTATGTGCATTTGCCTGAGTGGATGTATGTGCACCACAAACATGTAGGTGCTCTTGGAGGTCAGAAGAGGGTATTGGATGTCCTGGAAATACACATGGGTGTGAGCAGCCATTGTGGGTGCTGGGGACCAAATCTGTGTCCTCTGCAAGAGTAGCAAATGCCTTTAACCCCTGAACCATCTCTCCATCTTCATGATCCTATGTTAAAACACTTCACGGGAAAACTATGAGGGCTAATAACACTTCCAGTGAGGTGGCAGGATGAAGGAAAATGAGTCATTTTTCTATATAACAGTAATGATCATGCTGAAAATGAAACCTGGAAGCTGATCATGGTGGCACACACCTTTTTTAATCCCAGCACTTGGGAGGCAGAGGCAGAGGCAGGTGGATCTCTTGAGTTTGAGGCCAGCCTTGTTTACAGAGGGAGGTCCAGGCCAGCCAGAGCTACACAGAGAAACCTTGTCTCAAAAATCCAAGTAAATAACATGAAAAGAAAGAAACCTGGAAACAATCCCTGGTGAGTCTTACACAGTTAAGAAACAAAGTGCCTTCAGAGAAAACCATCCTCTACAGGAAGGAAGGACTTCTTCACTGAACTCTGAAAGCTTAGAGAGAGAAAGAAAAGTAGCAGAAGACACTGGAGTTGAGGGCCAGCAGAGTTCATCTGTGGAAGTGCTTGAACATGTGCAGATCACTGTGTCACGTGGAGTAAGCCATGCTCGTATGCAGAGTCTAGACTTAGAGACTTCTGGGCGCAGAGATCTTACTCTGGCAATCGACCAGCTGGACAACTTGAGTTTGATCCCAGGACCCACACACATAGTGGAAGGAAGAAAGGAGGAAACTGACTTCTGACGATTTCTTCTGACTTTCCTCCTGGTGCTGTGTTTCATGTACGCACACATGCACTCATACACACATACGTGTGTACATTAAATAGATAAATGTAATTTTAAAATGAAGCAAAGACAAAAAGGAGCGAGGGAAGGAAAATTCCTTCCATGGAAACATCTGCTCCTCTCAGGGAAGAGACAGTGAGGGAAGACCCCTTGTGACTCAGTCACCGTGAGGAAAGCTTTCTCATTGTTTTTCGGGAACTTGGTGTCTAGGAAGAAACTGAATGGTGTTTTATTTTGTATTCTTGTTTGTCTAGATACCCCAGTGAAGGTCATGAGTGGGGAAGGGAAGATTAACAGATAGTTGATGTGTGCACTGCAGTTTCTGTTAGAGGGGGCAGTATGGGAAGAGTGGGCACCAGCCTGGGCGCTGACCACTGCTCTCTGCTCTCCGTGCTTGCTGTCTGAATTCCTCTAAGGACTCACGCTCCTGAGGAGCAGTACTCAGTGGTGACCGCATGTGCACTCACACACACAGAGCTTGGTAAATGGGAAAGTGAGTTCCCATTAGAGAAGGAAATGCATGGGAGCCCTTTAAGAAGCAGGTGTTGGTACATTTGAAATGCAGTTCAGTCTGTCTGGACATGAGGCATGTATTATTTTTTTTCAAGAATATTTTCATTGTTTTTGGCGCATTCTCCTACATTCCTGTTTTGTGCGATGATTACCTGATTAATTCAGACACCTAGTTTAGTTACCAGAAAGTGGCTTACACTTTTTTAAATGGTGGTGTAAGTTTTTAAGCTTTTCTTGTAACTTAAATATGAAACATTTCTAGGATTTTAGAATGTCAGAGTTCTGAAAGTGTCATAAATCACCCCCTTTTAGTAATAAAAATGAGCAAGTTATTTAGTGTGGTGGAGGGGGATCTCCTGTGTTGTTGGTGCTGGGTTTCAAGTCCAGGATGTTATCTATCCTCTTTCCTCAGCCTCCTGAACATCCAGAACTAAAGGTCCAGACCCCTGGACTTCATGTAAATATCTTTGAATATTTAGAGATGTCATGAATGCGGGCATATACATATGTACCACTTTCTCCTTTGGTGCTGTATTTACTGTGTGAATCTACTGAGAATCTCTACGGTCATCTTGACTACTGACTCTTGGCGTTGACAGGAATGGCTTTTCCAGTACTGAGATCCTGGTGCCTTTGGCACCTCGAACATCATACTGATAGACACAGGGTTTCTCTAGATTTCTGTGTTGGGTGAAGGTTCATCTCACTTCTTTCTTCTTTCTTCTAATGAGAATCAGCTGATTATTTGCTGTCTGATTCATGAAACATCCCTTGATATAGTCTTAGGTTTCTTAGGTCCTTTCTTTGCGTTGTCTAGATGGACTGCTCCATACTCTGTTCCAGGGTCTTGCTATGTAACCCAGGCTGATCTTAACCTACCTCTGCTACCTGAGTGCTGGGATTACAGGTGTGTGCCAGTGTGCCTGTCCCCTGTCACTCTTCACGTTCTAGTGGAGCACTTGTGAAAGTGTTTGAAGGGACAGTGATTGTTAAGTGGAGTGTGTTGTTGGGAGCGGTTTGCGACTCAGCTGCAGTTGCATGAACCAGCACTAAGCATGCTGCCTTCCCTCAGACACAAGCTCCTGTGCTAGTCTGGGTGTTGCATCACTGACTGCTTGCAGCTGGTAACGAGCTATTGCATCAAATGTAACTTTCTTTTTTAATTTCAGAAAATGTTTGAAATGTGGGCTTATCAGGAAACGATTTTATATTTTTCATTTTAAATACCAAGTATGTGTTTTCACTGACATCTGTGAGAGCTGCTACAATGAAAATTACCCTGAGTAGTCACACATAGGTGTGTGGCTGTATTAGCAAAGGCCATCTATGAATTGTGTTGTGAACATAATCAGGGAGTCACAGATAAAACTTGGGTTGCTCTGGGTCAGGCAGGTTTTCCCTTGGTACTTCCCAGGAATCGCTGCAATCAGCACACTTGTGATAGGTTTTTATCTGTTGCTGGGTGAGTTGCTGTGCCTCATCATGTAGTGCACGTTTCTGTCGTCTAGCCAGTTAGGACCTACCAGAGAAAGCCATTAGTGAGTAAGGCACACCCAGACACTCATTGCTGCCTCGAGAATGGTCCCCAGGATCTAGTGAGGTCCCCTGCAGACCAGAGGCCTGCCCTTTCCTCTAGACTGCCCCGTCGCATCATTCCTCCCTTCTTTTTAAAATTTGTATCAGCCTGGATTATAACTTACAGTAATTCAGGTCTGTTAGGAGATAGGATGGTGTCCGGGCTGGAAGCCTTGGCTTTATAATGTTGTCTCCTTGCACTGAGTTGTTTCCACACCCTGCTTTCCTTCTCGTGTCAACCATGTGGATCTCCCCAATGCCTGGGTGATTTATTCGTGTATTTTTCCAAAATGGATTAATTATGCATGTCTCTGGGTGTATAGCATATTGTTGCTGTCTCAGTTCTTGGGCCTTTTAGTTTCTGTGCTTTGTCTGCGTGAGGTTGGAAGAGAGATGCATCTATCAGGATCCTGGAATTCTTCCCATCTTTATCATCTTCCATATGCTATATGTTATAGTTTTACCTAACTCTCTCCCTTTATTTTAGAAATTTTTTGCTCCTTCCTCTGTCTTGATCTTTTTGTAATTTTTGTATATAACAGATGAGTATGGTAGTTGAACACCCAGTTTGGTTTGTGATCTGTTCAAGGTTAGCCTCTACTTGACTTAGTATCCTTGAACCTAACCATTGTGATGTTTGGCCTTTGTCTGGGAATAGTTACTACAAACAGTGTTCCACACTGCCCCCTGCAGGTGTGGTGGAGGTTCTGGGTGCAGGTAACAAACTAAGCTGGAACGATAGCCCAAGGCAGCTTATTCCGTGTGTAGGAGTTTTGTTTATTTTGTTTTCATTTTTCTCTTCTTCCTTATTCATTTGAAAACTTAATAGCAAAAACATTGATAACTCCTTCCACCTAGGCATTTTCTCTAAGTTCTGGCCTGTTGTCCAATGCTGAGTGAAGTTTAGTCAGGTCTTTGTAGATGTCCTGAGGGTGAGAGATAGTATCTGTAGTTGCTTGAGTGTCTCTCCTCGGGTCTGCCCAAGTGATGGCACTTGGTTTGGTTTGTGAACCTGTCGTTGACTCTAGCTGCTCAATAGTCAGCAGCAATTCCTAGTTCCTCTGATTTATAAGTTTGCATCCCCAGAAAGGCCAGGTCCCGTGGACAGACTAGGTAGGACATGTTTACCAGAGATGGATCCCTGGTTAGGCTGGGAGCAGATAAACATGGGTGAACTCCAGTCTGGCTGCACGGGTGTTTGTGCTTCACCATGGATGCAGGGCTCCTAACAGGCTTTCTGCTGCAGCGTGACAAGCTTCTCTGTAGAGATGGTCGCAAAGAGGTAAGCATTGTCAATGTTTTCTCTCTTCCCCAAAGTTTGGGAGCCTCTGGTGGAGCAAGTAACTGGGACTCGTACAGTGATCATTTCACCATTGAAACCTGCAAGGAGACAGACATGCTGAACTACCTCATCGAGTGTTTTGACCGAGTTGGAATAGAGGAAAAAAAAGCGCCAAAGGTACTATGAAGAGGATTTACCAGAACGAAAGCAGAATGGTTATGTTATGTCATGTTATTTCATGTTATGTTATGTTATGTTATGTTATGTTATGTTATGTTATGTTATGTTATGTTATGTATGTGCTAATCTCTGTCCCAAGAGAAGCTGTCGATTAAATAGTCAGTAGTGATAGAGCTGTGGTTAGAGCCAGAGCTCAGACCGAGGCTGAGTGCCTTGGCTCCAGCGTCCTCTCTTTTGTCTGCCCTGTAGATAGGTGTTGTGTGTGTCATGTGTGGTCCTGATAACTGCTGATGGTGTCAGTTTTCCATCACTAGGACAAAATATATAGGAAACTCAAAGGAGGAAAGGTGTATCATGCTCACAGAATTTAAATCCACACTCAGTATGTAATACTGTAGTCAGTTCATGAGCTTGGATTTTCACAATTGCCCAGTGAATCCGAGTAGCCATGTATGAGGAAGTGATGGCCCTCGGAGATGAAGCTGTAATTGTCAGAATTATTAAATAAATAACAAGCTTCAGGACCATGCTAAACCAAGGGAGCATTACCCTCCCCTCACCCCCTTTTTTTTGAGATGAAGTCTCACTATGTAGCCCTGGCAGACCTTGAACTCACAGAGATCCACTTGCCTCTGGCAACTAGAATCAAATCATGTGCCACCACACCTGGCAACATCTCAATACCTACCTTCTCATTCATATTCACTATCCAGATCTTGTCTGACTGCAGACACTGATTGCCCCGTGTTAGTTTCACATTTGTGTGGCCTCCTCTGGGATTCTTGTCCTTAATCTTAGCAAAAATAAAGTCTGAGTAGGTGTGGTGGTGCACACTTACCAGTTCTGCACTCTGGAAATCTGGGACAGGAGATTTGCTGTGAGTTTGAAACCAACCTGGGCTATTGTAGAAAAGACCCTGCCTCAAAGTGTGATATAACGCCCCCCAAAAGGAAATGGGATGGGTGTGCCCAACGTTCTGTTCTGTGTTCCCTCACTAACCTCAGTACAGGTGGCTCAGGTTGGCGACACACTTGCTGTGTGTGTCCTTCGTGGGTCTAGGGAGAGGAAATGAGGGCATTTTCTAGCCTCTCTCCTGACGGTTAACTTCTCCTTCAGATGTGCAGCCAGCCCGCAGTCAGCCAGCTCCTGAGCAACATCCGCTCGCAGTGCATCTCCCACACCGCGCTGGTGCTGCAAGGGTCCCTCACACAGCCCAGGTACGACGGCACTCCATTGTGGTGGCTGGTGTGGGGAGGAGGGCCATCGCTCAGTGGATTTCATCCTCCGGTCGTTTGACGCTCTGTTGGATGACTCTGGGACCTGTACAGGGAATGTGTTCTGATTTAGTCATCAAAGCTCAGGCTGGAGAGATGGTTCAGAGGTCAAGAGCACTGACGACTCTTGCTGAAGACTGGGGTTCAATTCCCAGCATCTACATGGTGAGTCATAGTATCTGTGACCCCAGTTCCAGGAGATAGGATGCCTCCTTCTGGCCTCCGAGGACACTGTATACATACATCTGGTGTGGTACATAGACGAACATACAGGAAAAACACTCATCCATAAGATAAAAATAGATACAACCAAGGGCTGAGCCTTTCCTCCACCTGAATACTGTGGAAATAAAATAATCTTCTAAATAGTACAGAGCATATTTTTTAAAAGGAGTTAGTTATATTTTTAAGAGTTCTGTGTACTTTTTAAAATATGTAGAACCAAGGTAAATAATAATAATTTAATTTCAAACCTAGTATCTGAAGCTAGTGGATGTTTGTGACAAAATGATCATGTTCCGTGTGTCTCCGAATTGGTTTCTGTTACTAGGTGTTAGAGAATAGTGGGGGGACCTAGGTGAGGAGGCACATACCTATAATCCTAGCACGAGGCAGAGGCAAGAGGGTCACCACCAATACAAGGCCAGTCTGGCCTATGCAGTAAGTTCTAGGCCAGCCTGGGTTTCATGGTGAGACCCCTCATAAAAACAAGATAAAACGCCGGGCGGTGGTGGCGCACGCCTTTAATCCCAGCACTCGGGAGGCAGAGGCAGGCGGATCTCTGTGAGTTCGAGGCCAACCTGGACTACCAAGTGAGTCCCAGGAAAGGCGCAAAGCTACACAAAGAAACCCTGTCTCGAAAAACCAAAAAAAAAAAAAAAAACAAGATAAAACAAAATACAGTAGTAGAGAATGATTTGAAAATTGGCTAAAGTGCTATGATTTGTCTGTTTCAGAAAATTCTGGATAGTTTTCAAAGTTAATAAAAGATTGTATATTTTATTCTTTTCAATTTTATTTTTATGTGTATGGGTGTTTTATCTGCTTGTATATCTGCATATCATGTGCATGCCTGGTGGTCACAGCGGCCAGATGAAGGCATTGGATCCCTCTGGAACTGGCATTAGAGACAGTTGTGAGCTGACATGTGGGTCCTGGGAATTGAACCCAGGTCCTTTGGAAGAGCAGCCAGTGCTCTTAAGTACTGACATCGTATCCCTCCAGCCCTGTGTTTCATGGAAAAGTGAAAAATTGCAGTTTTTTCATTCTGGTTGTTCCCTGTACTATATGTTTTTTTAATATTCTCAAAATGAAGAAAAATTAGGCTGTATGGTGCCACATGCTTATGATCCTAGAATTTTGGAGGTTGAGGTTGAAGGAGATTATTGATAATCTTTTTTCCTCAATGTGGATGAGGCATAAACAAATAAATAAACAATAATTCTTTTTTATTATTTAAAGGAGTTTTAGATTTGCTTATGTGTATGTGCGTCATGTGCTTCCAGTACTATTGGAGGTCAGAAGAAGGTGTTGGATCTCCTGGAACTAGTTAAAAACAGTTGTGAGCTGCCACATGGGTGCTAGGACTCAAACCAGACCTTTTACAAGAGCTCTTAACTACTGAGCCATCTCTCCAATCACCTTAGTGCATTTTTAGATGCATTTATGATTTCTTTTCCACTGCTGAGGACCCAGCCTGGGGCTTTGCACATGGCAGACAATGCTTAGTCCCAGGCCTGCTGCTTCCCTTTCAAAGAACTCCGCAAAGAAAGAGTTGTTGTTTTGGTAATTTCTTCTGGTGTCACCTTGTTAGAAAAGTCATGTTTACGTGACGGGGCAGACTGTGTGGCCATGACATTCTGCTGGCTTCTCTCACAGGCCTTGCTTTTCCTGGGTCTGCAGGTCCTTGCAGCAGCCGTCCTTCCTTGTGCCGTATATGCTGTGCAGGAATCTCCCGTACGGCTTCATTCAAGAACTGGTGAGGACCACTCACCAGGATGAAGAAGTGTTCAAGCAGGTACAGCGGGCCAAGCAATACTCCAGCTTTTAGCTAAGCGCATCTATGCTGATGTCCAGATACAACATGTCATGGAGTAGGGGAGGGACTCATGAAGCTCCACCCCTTTCATGCAGTTAGTGGTGGCTGGAGAATGGAAAGATGTTTTCTTGAGTGATATAGCCACTGGTATAGGTACCCATGCTCCTATGAACAGCCTCTCACCCACGCTTCTGCAGGTAGCCCCTAAGTAAATTTACGGATCATAAGAAAGAAAGAGTGTGGGGAGGGAGGGAAGGAGGGCATGAAAATAGTGAAGGGACTAGAGGATAAATGATAATGAGGAGGAGACATGGGAGTGTAATGGGGTGAGTACAATAAATGCATTTTTTATTTTATATATATATATAAATGAAAATGCCATATTGAAATCCATGCATAATTATATATGCTAAAAAGGAAACAAATAAGAACATCTTATGTGGGAAATGCCTCTTCCTAGATCTCACTATGTATGTTACATTTGGCACAATATCCTTTCCTTTGTTTTATAGCTAGCATGTTCGTAACTCTCAATTTTAAGACCTTTGGATTCTTAAATATTTGTAAAAGCACATTCCAGGTCACATCAGGTGTAGTGGTGAATGCCTTTAATCCCAGCACTCACTGGTCAGGCAGGTAAATCTCAATGGGTTAGAAACCAGCCTGGTCTGTATAGTAAGTTCCAGGCCAGCCAGGGCTACATAGTGAGACCTCATCTGAATGGGGGGAAAAAACAAGGAAAGAGCAATTCAGGACTCAAAAAGAACAATTCTTGGCTGTTTGGTCACAGTGGGCTTTAGTGATGTATTGTGGAGTCGGACTGCAGGAACAATAAAGGCAGCATCGAGAGCTCTCTATCCTCAGAAAGATAATGAACTCTGGGGTGGGAGTGGAGGGGATTGTCGTGCTGGGTGATGGTGGCTCACGCCTTTAATCCCTGCACTCTGGGAGGCAGAGGCAGGTGGATCTCTGTGAGTTCGAGGCCAGCCTGGGCTACAGAGTGAGATCCAGGAAAGGCTCAAAGCTACACAGAGAAACCCTGTCTTGAAAAAACCAAAACCAAAAATAAAATAAAAAATAATAAAAAAAAAAGAATTGTCGCAGGAGGTTTAAGTGAAGCAGCTTTAGGTATGGTCAGCATTAAGTAATACTTCTCCTTTTTCATAAAAGCAAACATTTGAAAAACCCAGAGTAGTTTTAAAATCAGGCCCAAAATCACCTCAGAAGGACATGTGATGCTTATTTTATTGACAATAAGTTATGCAGAGGCCACAAAGTGACCTTTGGTGGTTTTGTCAAGGAGGTGGCGTGAACTCCGTGGTAGCTTACAGCACAGGTAGGTCTTCCTGGCACCTTCCTGCACTAGCTGGCATGAAGGCGTTGTCGTCTTTCCGGGGTTACCGTGAGTTTTGTCTGGAGGGAACAGCTGCCGACTGCAGCAGGCCAAGTCCCACTTCTCACTGTCAAGCCGGAGGACAGGACTTGTAAGTCCTCGACTGGGCTTGCCACTTCCTTTTAATGCTTGGGTGATGCTTCCAAATGAAGAAAGAGACAAATAGCAGCTTAAATGTGAGACTGAAGATGAAGAGCTGAAGCTTTTATCTACACTAGGAGGTATTTACTCGAAAAATAGAAGAGTTATTTGCAGTGTACAGGTCACAAAAATAATATGACTCCTAGGCTGGTGAGCTGTTTCAGTGGATAAAAGTGCTTGCTGCACAGTTGGTCCCTGAACCCCCCAAAAGGAGGATAGTACTGACTCCTGAAAGTGCCCTCTGGCCTCCACGTTTAGTGTGCACACCCACCCACTTACACATTATACAGACACAATAATATAAATTAAAAAAAAATACACTCCTTGATGGTGGGAAACATTTTATGCTTATTCATATCTTGCCTGTTTGTTATCAATTAAACTCTTAATTGCAGAAAGAGACAACTCTACTAAAAAGAGTAAAGCTTAAAGTAGTCTTAATGTATTTAAAGGTCATTCAGATGAACAGTTAATGGCATTTATCCATGGGGTTCTAGAACTTGTCTTGCCTTTTCCTCTGGGTTGCAGTTTTGGCATCTCCTGCCCCCATGCTGACTGTTACTCCCCGTTTTCAGCTAGCTTATGAAAAGAAAGCACGTTACTTCTACCCTGATAACTCCAGTTACAGGAACCAGGGTGATCTCTGCAAAGCTGTTTTGATAGCACAGAATGCTTCTCAGGCACATCGAGGGCCCTTTTTCATCCCGTGTCTTCTCTTCTGCTCTGAGTTCTGTGTGATGGATGAACTCAGTGGCCGGAGGGCTTGGTCCTGGTTTTCTAGTGGCTTCGTATTATGCTCCCCTTCCAGCTTGTGGTTCAGATTGCCAGCTGCTGTGGACTACGCTTTCCCTTGATGTTGTTAGTCTTGGATTCTAGCCCGCTCCTAATCGTGTGGCTCCGTGACAGGCACTGTGACGTGTGCAGTGTACTGTGCTGAGCAGGGCTTGCACACCGTCACCATGTCAGTGCAGGCCTTGTATGTTTTGTGCCCTTCGGTTTCCAGGTCAGGTGACTGTATTAATTCCACTGTGTATGGAGGTTAGGGGTTCTTACTAGTCATTTAGTTTTCAGTCTGAACATTCATCATCTGTCCCTTTGCTCTCAATTCAGCTGAATGTAACAAACGGAGCAAAACCATTTTTTAAGTGTTGGTGGATTTGAGGAGAAGGTGGAACACTTAGGTACTTTCCTGACAGATCATTAGTGTGTGTTAATCAGCAACTTGGGGAGGACAATGGGGTGGTGGTGAGGTGTTCGGGAGTCCAAAGTGAGGCGGGGAGCCCTCACAGCAGTCCTCCATGTGCTGGCTGCTGTCGGATGTCAGAGTCCCACTGGAGTATCAGTGTTCATCAACATCCTTTGCTGGAAAGTTGAGCTTCCTTACTTTATGCTTGGTCTGGCTGATGGACAGGTCAACACTCAAGAATTCTACAGTCCTTGATCTGGAGAAAAATAAAAATTAAAATTAAAAAAGAAAAGACAAGCATTTCTCCTTTGGGGAAGAGTAGGAGTGTCTGGACCTGCAGACCCAGTACCTCGTGTGACATGCTTGCCTACTTCATTTCCCTTAAACCTAATGTTGTGCTTTTCTTTTTATTACAGATCTTTATCCCTATTCTACAAGGCCTGGCTCTTGCTGCCAAAGAGTGCTCCCTCGATAGTGACTACTTTAAATATCCCCTCATGGTAAAGTCTTTTTCCTTTTCTTTAAGAGATATTTAAGTAGATATTTTTCTTTTAAATCTATGTTCAATGTTGTTTTCAAGTGTTTTAGTTTTTTTGAGACAGTCTCATGTCTTCCAGGCTGAAGATGACCCTTAATTCTGATCTCACTGCTTCCACCTTTCACGTGCTGTGCTTACAGCTATAGATTATTCCGACTTTAACTGTAAATCCTGAGACCCTTTTGTAGATTGGACAGAGTGCACTTGTGTCCTGAGCTGCCTGAGTGCATTGTAGCCATCCGTCCTCCACCCTGCCAGTCCTAGACGGCAGCGAGGAAGGTTCCAATGCGAAAGAGCTTTGCCATCCTGGTAGCTAGTACGAAGGATGACCATTGGCGGGCAATCCCAGCAGATTTTCAGAGGAGCAGACAAACCATACTTGGGATTTAAAAAAGAAATATTTAAAAGGCTGGCTGCTCAGTTAAAATGCTTGCTGGGTAAACCTTACATCTGGAATCCATGTAAGGATGAGGGAGAGAACCAACTCCATATGTTCTCCTCTGACTTGCACATACATGCTGCACATCCCCACCCTCCCACCCCCATACACACACAGTAATGACAAATGGAAAATGATAGCAACACATTGGGGCTGGAGAGGTGGCTCAGCAGTTACCAGTGTTTGCTACTCTTGTACATAACCGGAGCTTGGTTTGCAGAACTGCCTGTAACTCCAGCGCCAAGAGATTTGCCCTCTTCTGGCCTGCACAAGCATCTGCACTCAGGAAGTATATACACATGTACACATTAATGAAAATTTAAAAATGAAATCATTTTAATACCTTCCTGTGTGACACAGGTTGACCTTGTACTCATGAACCTCTTTCAGCCTCCAGAGTGCTTAGATTACAGCAGTGCGCTTTCATGCCCAGCTGGGACGAAATATTTTTTATTGAGCCAGAGATGGCTCAGCAGCTTAAAACACTTGGACAAGCCTGTGACCTGAGTTTGCTTCCTGTGAATCCATACAAAAACCCAGATGTGGCGGCTTTTTTTTTTTTTCCCTTCCGAGACAGGGTTTCTCTGTGTAGCTTTGGTGCCTGTCCTGGATCTTGCTCTGTAGACCAGGCTGGCCTCGAACTCAGAGAGATCCTCCAGGCTCTGCCTCCCAAGTGCTGGGATTAAAGGCGTGTGCTACCACCACCCGGCTCCAGGTATCCCCTTTTGTTACAGGATTGTAATGGGAAAAATGCCAAACTATGAAACTCATTTACTCTGTGTATATTTACAACTTTGTATAAATTGAGGCCATAGAGAAATTGAAACTTTATGTTTGTTCCTTATACTCATTCTATTGATTTGATTCTATTGTGCCATTGACTCATTGGTGTCT